TTCCCCTCAAAAAACTATCACTCCTCTAAAATTCCCTGTTTCTGCCAAGGACACTAATGTCCTTCAGGTAAACCAGATATCCAACTCTGGAGCCCTTCTTGACTCCTCATTCTCAATCACCCCCCAATATTCTAACCACACCCCATATTCTAATCAGTTGCCAAGTTTTATGGATTCTACTTTTACAATGTATCACATATATGTTCCCTTCTCTCCACTCAAATGGCTTGTATTGTAGTTCAGACTTGATTTCTTCCTTCCTTCCTTCCTTCCTTCCTTCCTTCCTTCCTTCCTTCCTTCCTTCCTTCCTTCCTTCCTTCCTTTCTCATAGGCAATGGCGTTAAGTGACTAATCCAGGGTCACACAGGTAGTGAGTGTTATGCATCTGAGGCTGGATTTGAATTCAGGTTCTCCTGAATCCAGGGCCGGTGCTCTATCCACTGCACCACCTAGCTGCCCCTGGACTTATTTGATTTCTTACCTAGATTATTACTCCCATTTGGTCTCTCCTTTCTCCAAAACATCCTTCACACAACTTCCAAACTGATCTTCCTTGAAAAATAAGTCAGAAGTTGGGTATCTTGATGCTGTAGTGGATAGAGTGCCTGGCCTGGATTCAGGAAGACCTGAATTCAAATCTGGAATCAAACACTTACTAGCTGTATGACCCTGGGAAAGTCACTTAACCTTGTTTACCTCAGCTTCCTCATCTGTAAAATGAGTTGGAGAAGAAATAACAAACCACTCCAATATCTTTGCCATGAAAACAACAAATGGGTTCATAAACATTTTTTTCATTAAAAAAAAAGCAAGTCAGGTCATATGATGGGAAAAGTTGGAAAGGACTTTTTTGACTATTTCAAAAGTTTTGATATACTTATCATTGTTGTCATTTTATTTGATGAAATTCTCTGTTGCTATGACTTGCATTTTGACATATCAATTCCTTGGGATTAAACAATTTAGTCTATGTTTAAGTTTGAAACTTTTAAATGCCTTTTATTGATTATATTTTTTATTGCATGGATGTGTTTAGTATTTCTACTTTTCTGCATTTTCTGCATTTATTCAATTGAATTTATTCAATTCCATTTCTGGCCCTAGAACATGGGCAGGTTTTTAAAGGTGCCACTCATATCTAAGTAATACGTATCATTTTAATTTATATTCAGTAATCACCAAACTTCTATAATATCTAATCTTTCCAAAATTCTATAAAAGTCCTTTATTCATTTCTTTTTTTTTTGTTATGTTTATTTAGGTGTGAAAAGGGTTTATTAATCTTCCCAACTAGTATAGTTTTGCTTTTCCCCCCTGTAGTTGGAATTACTTTTCCTGTAATACATAGATATTAAGGGAAGTAGAAGCAGTGAGGTCTTCCCAGCGTGGTTTGAAGAAATACAGGTGGTGGTTCCATGGTGCTGGTAATGGTGGAGAAGTGTGAACAGCTGGAGAAGTTTGTGGAGAAAGTCGCTTAGCTCAGAGTTACTGACAGCATCTTCCAGCCCAGCGGCCAGGTCATGCTCAACCAGGAGTTTAAGTTTATCGTCACCAGCTTGCAGAATATTGATGTGCTAACAGTGGCTTCCTGATACTCATTAGCAGACTAGAGAAAGTTTTTGAATCTACAGATCAAGGCTGTAATCCTCAGTTATACACCAAAGAGGTCTTAGAGAAGGTTCTAGATAAAAATGACAAGTTAAAGCAAAAATAGCTCTCTGAAGAAATTTACCACAAAAGTGTTGATTCAAGATTTTTCTAAAGTTTTCCCAAAGCTAAGTATTAAGGTATCCAAAATGAAGATCACCCTCCTCTTCTTAAATAGCTTGTTTCATTGTCTAAAGATGTACACTTAAGACTTTCTTTGAATTGTCATGACTTTTTGAAGTGCTTGTCTGAGGGAGACAGTGCTTAAGGTGAAAGTGTCCTTGAAATATAAATGTGGAGCAGTTCTTTAAAAGACATTATATTTTCCCTCAAGGTGTATGTGTTTCAAACAACCTTTACTGGACATTGGCATTTTCTCTCTATGTTATGGAACACATATCCAGCTTTTATTTGTGTTTCAAAAAATGTTATTTCCCAGAACAGAAAGGGTGTCTTTATTTTCTTGTCAAGCACCAGAGAACTGAGGTTCTGAATCTCTTCTATGTCAATTAATGACATTAGGTGGGAACACTATACAGAGGGGAAAAAGCAATCATAGGAAATTGCTGCCACTGTCAATTTGCTCTTTTAGTAGCTAAATGTGCTTGGCCATATGGAAGACTGGATAGCGACTTTGTCCTTTGATACTCACCATTCCGTCTTTTCCTCATTAAAAAATATTTTTGTTTTGGTCTGCTGTGGAGATGGCTGGCATCATCAATGTTATTTGTATTTTGTGTAGTTTAACTATGATTATTAACTTATATCTTTATTTAGTGTAACTTTATTTAGTGTATCTAGCACATATAAAAGTGTTTTTGAATGAAAATACTGAGATGCCATGTCATGTAGGTACATATATGTTAATAATTGCTAATTAATTATCGATGTTATTTCTTGACCTATTGTACCTTTAACCACAATTTAGTTACTCTGCTCCTGTGTTCTTTCTTTCTTTCTCTTTCTTTCTTTCTTTCTTTCTTTCTTTCTTTCTTTCTTTCTTTCTTTCTTTCATTTATTTATTTTTCCTTTCTTTTTTCCTTCCTTTCTTCCTTCCTTCCTTCCTTCCTTCCTTGGTCTTTTCTAAATGTTTCCCTGAATGAGCTCATGATACCTGCTTTTTTGAGTTCACATGAAATATAATATACTCTGTTTCAGTCCTTCATCTTGACTCTGTGTGAATATTTACATATCAAGCTTGTTTCTTGTAAACAATGTGTGTCTGGATTCTGCTTGATGATTTATTCTTCTCCTATCTTTATTCTGTTCATATTCATGGTTTTGATTGCTAATTGTATATTTACCTCCATAACATCATTTCGTACTTTTTCCTCTCTGTACCTATCCCTCCCCCTCCCCCTTCATAAAGAAGAAAGTAGAGAAACAAAAGGAAGGTGATCAACAATAATTATCTTCAATTAAAGACATTTACTCTCATTCCCCTGCCCTTCTCTTCAACTACCCCAGACCACCATAATTGTTTATTACAATTTCTTTCTTTCCTTTTAATCTCTACTTTACTATCTGTTCTCACATGTCGAAATTTGTTTTGCTTGGATCTATTCTCCCTCTAACTCTACTTCTGAAAACACACCACTTCTCTCACCCTGTTTCCATCTGTTGCCCTCTTGATTTGAATGTGTTTTACATCAAACTCTGTATGTGACCCTCTTTTATCTGATTTGGAGGAATCAGTGACTTTCAGGAGACAGTCTCCTTCAACCTCTTCCTCCATTTTTGTATATTCTTCTTCTCATAGTCCTAATTGTGAAAAAAAATAGTGTTTCTTCCTTTTCTTCTTCATTTCTTTCCTTGTGTATTTCTTTCCCCTTTTCTTCCTCTCATTGAAACCACCAAAACAGAACCAAAATTCCTCCAGGTTCTGTATTTGTCCTTGTAGCCTGTCACCCTTGAAAACAGTGGATTTCTAAAGGGATACTTGTCTTTTCTCCTCTTGTTAGAATGCAAGAAAGTCACCACCATTTAGTCCCTTCTAATTCCTCAAATATAACTTGGTTTCTCTTAACTCACATGTTTTCTTTTCAGAAATAAAAATGTTGCTTTTCTGTTCTTTTACGGGTATGGTTTTTTCTGGGGTTTTTTGTTTTGTTTTGTTTTTGCCTGTAGGATTAGACAGGATAAGTTCTTTTTGTTTACAAGCCTTTGTCTTTTGCTTCTTGGAACACCTCACTCCACCATTTCCTCTCCCTTATAGTAGCTGCAACATAATCAGATGCTTGGTGCCTGAAAGCTTTCTTTCTGGTTCTTTGCAGTTGGTATTTTGTTGTTGTCCTGGATCCTCTGGATTTTGGCTATGAATTCCTGGGTGGTTGTTTTCAATTTGGTGTTTCAGGAGAAGACCAGAAGATTCTTTCAATTTTCATTCTTTTCTTCTGTTTCTAATAGATCTGGGCAGTATTGTTTAACAGTTTCTTAAAATAGTAATTAGTGCCGTACACATGAATAAACCCCCTTTATGAAATTTAAAAGTGGATGGGGCTTTTCGATGGAATCTCTGACTTTTCCATGAAAAACAGTCTGTGCTTTTATATACACCATCAAGTTTGTGTGGTGACAGAAGGTTGCACATCATTCTCCCACCTTTGTCAGCTAAGGTAACCCGTAAAATCCTCAAATCTCTCCTGCAGTTGGTGTCATGGTGTCTTTATCTTCTTAACTCCATTGACTATTACTTGCATTTTAAATTAATGCTTTCCCTGGATGTTGGGCATCCTATAGGAATTGTTCACCTTATTGAGTTGAGGAAACTGAGGTTTGAAGAGCTTGGTTGATTTGCCCATGTTCATGAAGCTTGAGCATGCTACAGTTGGATTCAAACCCAAAGGCCTAGCCTTCTTTCCACTAGACCTCACTGCATTTTACCAGAGATGACTGTCAGAAAGTTCATAAGATTCCATCCCTGTATTTTTCTACATTCTCTATGCTCAATGCTTTGTTTATTTCTCTTGTGCAGACAAATTAGGTTGAGTTAAAAGTGCAAAGCAATGAAATAGGATCTGTCCTTCATTTACATCATTGAAAACAGCTGCTTGGCCCCTGAGACAGGAGCCCACATGGATAATTAACACCCAGAAATGCTGGAATTGCCCACTCAAGGTCTGAGCTAACAATCACTTTAACTTTTAGTAAGGAGAGGTGTTTGCTGTGAATACAATTAGAGCCTCATCTAATAGCAGGGCAGAGTTTTTTCTGACCACAGAGAGAGAGCCCACAAGAGAGAGAAGAAAATTACTGTTATTTTAAGAAACAGAAATATTTTTCTGCTCCTCTTGGCTGGAAATTCATTCACCAGAAACAATATTAAAGGTATCAAGGAATTTCTTTTCACAAACATGCCAAGTGTACTGGAGAGCATCTATGTGATTGTGGCATCTGGAGAGTGCTTAGTGGGGGTTTTGGCTAATGGCTTCATTGGACTGGTAAACTGCATTGATTGTGTGAAGACCAGAAGAGTGACCTCATTAGATTTCATCCTTACTGGCTTAGCCATCTCCAGGATTGGTACATTGCTGTCACTAATAACAAGTAACATTTTTCTTTTTGGTTTGAAAAGCAATTCCATTAGACATCTGGTGTATTTAGAAGTTATCTGGAACCTCAGCAGCCATTCAAGTGCCTGGTTTGGAAGTTGCCTCAGTGTCTTCTATTTTCTGAAGATTGCCACCTTCTCCCATCCTGCCTTCCTCTGGCTGAAGTGGAGAATTAACAAGGTGGTCCTCAGGATGCTGATGGGATGCTGGCTCATATCCTTGCTCATTATCCTTACAATGGCAGCAAGAATTGCTAAGATTAAGATAGTTTCCATTGACCAAGGAAATGAAACAGTTACTCATAATAACCAAGAATTTAAAACCCTTAAGTTTCCCACCCTGATTATCTCCAGTACTGGGGGTTCAGTCCCTTTTGCTCTCTCCCTCTGCTCCTGTTTCCTGTTAATACTGTCCTTGTGGAGGCACACCCAGCAGATGCGTCTCAGGGTCATGGGCTCCAGGGATCCCAGTACAGAGGCCCACGTGAGGGCTATGAAAGCCATTGTCTCCTTCCTCTTCCTCTTTGTACTATACCACTTGGGCATCATTATGGCAGTCTTTAACCTGTCTATGCTTCACAGTAAACTTGTGGCAATGTTTTCATTGATGATCATGAATGTCTATCCCATGACCCACTCCATTATCCTAATTCTGGGTCACAGCAAGCTAAGGGAGGCCTCTGTGAGGGTACTGGGGAAGCTCACAGACTGCCTCAAAGTCCCTGGGAAAGTCTAAGTGGCAGAGACTGAACTTTGGGAAACCTTGTATTTTTCAGGGAGGGGGTGGCAGTAAAGAAGCCATCGAATAAATATAACTAAATGTGGAGAAGAATTTACTTAGAGCTCCAACATTGCTCTTTTGTCATTGAGACTCTAAGGTCATTGAGACTTTAAGGTCATTCTGACTCTTTGTGACCCCATGGATCATACTGTCAACAATGCTTTGTTGGCAAGGACACTGGAGTTGTTTTCCACGTCTTTCTCAAGTTGATCCAGTGCAAAGTTTTGTCACAGAAACTGAGGTGAGTGACTTATCTAGGGTCACACACATAAGAAGTATCTCAGATTGGAGTTGAACTCATATCTTTTGGACTTCAGGCTCAGTGCTCAATCCACTGAGAAGGGATTCATGATTTTCATATTAATGGATATGATATGTATAATCAATATGCTAATTTAGATTTCTCAGAGCTGCCTCTTCTGGCATTGGTATCAGAATCTACAATGCAGCTTGATATGATCGATCAAACCCTTGACAAAGCTCTCACAATCACTACATTCCTATGCCTGTGTACATTAAGTGAAGCAAATCAAAGATTTAGAACCTGTTCCCAACACAGAACTCTGGGCCTATGTCCCACCAAATAATAACCACCAACAATACTGGTCCTACAGGACTCCAAGACTCCTGTCTTGTCCTGCATTTATGGGCTTGTCATAAGCAACCACTCAGGCCCTGGAAATGATTGTTTGTAATCCACCTCCCACCCCCTTCTCACTTGTGATTTGTGTGTATATGCTGTGCCTTTCCTCTAGCATAGAAAGCATTTGTCACTCTGAAAACAATTAATTAAACCACTACTTGTTTCCTGGCACTCCTGTTTCTGGCCTGCTTTGTGTGGCTCTGGGTATTCACAGGTTAGAGATGGGTCCTGTCTAGCCTACATGTAAAATCCTGTTAACACCTCTGAACCACCACCAAAGACGATGAGAATAATAATGAGAAAAAAATTATAAGAGAAAAGTCCACAGTTACAAAGAACCAATAATGGCTTCCAAAGGAGAGATAAAAAAAAAGATGCCTATTCTTGGCAGAGGAAGAAGTCCAAATGTGGGGAATATTGCTTATGTTTTCAGATTCTTTCCTATGACTAGATGTTTTTTGGAGTTTTAAAAATTATTTTTAAAAAGTTTTTAATATTTTTATTTAAAGTTTTTTGAATTCCAAATTCTATCCCTCCTACTTTCCCTCACCTGCCTACCCTTTGAGATGGTAAGCAATCAGATGTCGGTTATACATGTAGAATTATGTAAAACATTTCCATATTAGTCATTTTGTACAAGAAGACTTGAATGAAAGAAAAGCAATGAAAGAAAGAAAGTGAAAAATCGGCTGCTTCACTCTGTATTCAGTCAATATCAGATCTTTCTCTGGAGGGAGATAGTATGCTTCATCATTAGCCCTTTGGGATTCTCTTGGATCATTGTATTGCTTAGAGTTGGTAAGTCATTTGCAGTCATTCAGAAAAGATGTGATACTGTATTGATCTAATCTTATACATAAATGTAACTGTTAAACCAATGGGAAAGGAGATGGTAAGTCTAAGAACTGATTTGTCTGAGTTGCCCAGATTAGGAAGTTGAGACAAGTGATGGTTACAAATTCAGAACAGTGAGGGAAAAAAAAGAAATGGGAACCTTTATAGTAGCACCTCATTACAACCATTCAGAGATGCTTGCTGACTGTAACAGCAAGATCCATTTTTAAACATTTCCAAGTCTTTGCCATGCTTTGAAAAATTTGCTGTGAAAGGAAGACGGACGTATTCATAACATCTGGACTATTCCGTCAAGGCGAAAGTTATAGGTTGACATGTCATAGGCACACCAGGGCAAAACCTCATTGCCTCACTTTGATTTCAGGTAAAAATCACAGATGTATTTTGAAACAACTGACCATACATTATTCCCCAGATATCATAGTCAGGTTCAGAACAAACTCGGTGAGAAACATACCTGTTCATAAAGGAAATAGCACATGGGGGAAATTAAGTCAAGAGGCTATTGCCCTTACTTTCAAAAGCCATCTTCTCAAGACACTCTCTTTGAGTAGCTCTTCGTATTTCCTTTAAATCCCAAAGTACTGACTTCCCAACAATCAAAGAGTTGTACCTGAATTCCAAAATCAGAGCAAATCAAACTATACCTGCCTCACCCCATCTCACACAGTGAGTTCATAGCTTATAGTTTAGAGCAGGAAACAGCCAGTTTTCAGGTTACAGTAGCAACTAACAATAAATAAGCAAAATGTTGACCTTCAGTCCTGATCAAGTGCACAAAAGCACAAATATAAAAGCATTCATTCATGACCTGACTCTTCTTTTCTAGGTAAAGCACAGCCTGATGTAAAAATCAATTAAAATGTAATCCCCTCCTGGAGGCTTATACATAAAGTGAATACATGATAGTTCATTCATAACCCTGAAAGACTCTGGCCAGCATTTGCCCAAATGTCTTCAGGTAGTGCATATTAGCCCCCAGGGTAAAGAGAAAAATCTTTTAAACTGGAGTCTGTCAGTACTATGTCAGCTCAAAGATGCAGCTTTGATACTTTCTATTCCACATGTGACTTCATAATTTTCACGGTCAGTAGTCTGACAATTTATCCCATGAATCACTTCTATACAACCAGAAAACTTGTAAGCCAGCCTCCACTTGGGCTATGAGTGTGAGGAGGGGATCTCAGTTGCTTAGTAAAGCAAGTTACTATTTTAGATTCTACAAGACTCTGATTAGTCATCTGTATGCCCCCAGGCCCATCTTTCACAGAGTTTGTAAGAGTTCTTGGCCTTGTCAAGACTAAAGCCATAGAAGACCTGGCAGGTTCCAAAAGAACTTCTCAGAGGGGGCCACTAGGTGGCGTAGTGGATAGAGCACTGACCCTGAAGTCAGGAGGACCTGAGTTCAAATCCAGTCTCAGACCAAACACTTGATGCTTTACTAGCTGTGTGACTCTAGGCAAGTCACTTAACCCCAATTGCCTTAAAAAAAAAAAAGAACTTCTCAGATAATGAGAATTTACAAGGTCATTTTTATTTCAAAGTAAAGTACCCCCAATTAAAACTTAAGCACGTCTTCAATGAAGGCAATAACTCCTACCAATGACAGTGCATCTACTGAGAACCCTAGTCCCAGCCTTGTGCATGGGTTTGAGGAGAGGAATTCTCTATCACTGAAACATGAGGTTCAGTGACCTGGCCTTATCTGGAGAAGAGAAGGTGGTAGTGGGTCTGTCCATCCCTTTCCATCCCTAGAAGGATGGCTACCCAGAAACTTGGTGTCATTTTTGGTCAGTAGCTTCTGAGCTAAGGGCGTGGCCCAGACCCAGTTTATTAGCCATCTGGTGGGTTTCTTAGATTCTAACAAGAAGAGATTGTGCCAAGAGGCATTGCAGGAGGCTGACTACTGGCATGAACTGGGGTTTGTTTGGTCAAAGTCCATTCACAGATGTAATTCTGAGAAAAGCTGATTAAGGTGCACTCTTGCTAGTTAATTTTAGGATGTCCTGGCTGAGGGACTGGGGACTTTCTGATGTTTGGGAGGGAGGGGGCTAGTTATTGTTAGTTCACCAACATGTCACAGAAGGATTGTGGGTCCTCTCCCCCAGCATCCCTTCCTTCACTTTTCGCTGTGGTTTTTAGGGGTAGTATTGAGGCAAGCCAGGGATCTCTCACATAGTCGGCCTTGCTGCAGGTCTGCTCCTCTTTCTCTTTCATCCTTTGGGGAACTTGACTGCCTGGAGAATCTCTAAGCCTGGAGGATGATGGAGCTGGTTTCTATAGGACTTCAGACCAGGTCACGCCTTCCAGACTCAGGTTAAACTCCAACTGTGAGGGTGGGGCAAGTATCTTCCTCCCTCTCTCACTAGAAAGACCCTCCCATTGCTGGGCAGCTCTGAGAGCATTAAAGTCTGTTTAAAATAAAGGCAGAGGTTTGGTGGGCACAAAGGAAAGTCCCATTTTTAGGTCAAATTCTAGGATACACACACATAAATTTTGCACAGAAGGGTTGAGACTCTGGGCAGGGGGTGGTGGTGGTGGTTCTCTGTGTGTGTGTGGACTCCAGTACTGTCCTTCATGGAGAAATTGTTCAAGGAGAAATTTCCCTGCAGCATCGAAGGCTGTACATTAAGGGGAAGGTAAGGGACCAACCCCCCTTCCCAAGTCCCATTTAGGATGCCAATTGTTACATTTGAAAATTAAGGTAAACTGAGGGACAAGATTCTGAACATGATCCATTTGTTAGTTAGGCTAGCAGGAACCAACAAATTGGGTCAGTAGCCTCTCTCAAGCAAAGACCCTGAGTGAGGACTGAAAGCTTTTTTTTTTAATAACAATTAACAAGATAACAAAGCAAAGGCTCGTGCAGCAAAAGTGTGTATTCTTCTGATTGCCTATCAATGGCCTGGTCAGGATTGAGATCCCCTTCTGAAACTGCCTTCCACAGCCAAGAAGCACGACTCAAGACACAAGACAAAGGTTGCCAGGCCAAGGGAGTTGCTACAATAGTTTAAATGGATGAGATTTGACCTTTTAGGTTAATCAGGTTTTCTGGAAAGTAGATCATGGGAGGAGTTACAAGGTGGAGGTAATCACAAGACAAAACCTTGATCTTTAGGCAAGTTTCTCAAGGTTGTGGGTGGCTGTGAGGTTTATAAGGGGAAGGACCCAGGAAAAGAAATATTAAATGTAGCTTAAGACTTAGCAAAACAGAATAAAAATCAATTTTAAATTTTACAGATCCATGGCATTAATGGAGTTTACAACTTAGGAAGATATAAAGTCTAAGTTAGAGTTGGGGGCTAAAATATGTCATAATAAATAAGCACAAGAACAAAAATACTTATTAATAAGACATTTGACATAGTTAAGAAACAAGAATATTTTATTAATTTGTTGAATAATTGAGAGATTTTAGGCAATGAAGGAGAAACAATGACTTTAAAAATGTCAGAAGACAAATCAAACTTAATTTTATACCTATAAATGGGTTCTGAATAAATTATCTGCATTTCATAATTAAAAGGAAAGAATTACAGCAAGGGTCCAATAACAAGGAAACTTCATCATTACATATGTTCTTCACCAAAAAAAACTTTAATGCCAAGAAACACAGAAAAGTGTTTTTCATGTTCAGTACAATTTCTTTGATGTTTAGTCAAGTCAGTAAAATAGATTTCTGACACTTTTTACATTTCTATATGTTTGCTCTAATATGAACATTCTCATGCTGAAAAATATTTGTGTCTTTACAGACAGTTTTCTTATATTCACTGCATTTGTCTTGAGGTTGGCAGGTAATTGTATGTTTTTTAAAAATTCCATTTTATTTTCACTCCAAATTCTCTTGCTCCCTCTCTCCCTCAGCCCTAAATCCATTGAAAAGGCAAGTAAAACAAAACCCCTTGTAACTATGTCTAGTCATGGAAAACATTTAGATATCTGTTGTTTTCATATTGCCTAAATTTCCCTTGCATCCCTGCTACAAACAAAGAGCCATCTCAAATAACATTTAATACCTTAAAAAAGAGAGAGAGAGAGAGAAAGAGGAAAGTTAAGAAAACCAATCAATACTTAAGAAAGAACATGAAAACATGAGCAACATTACACACACTTGGAGCTCTATGTCTGCCACACATTGGCATCTTCATGTCTCCTTTGGGGACATATTGGTTCTTTGTAACTCTGCACCATTCTCTAACTGTTTTACGATTATTCTTTTCATTCATTGGTGAAAATTCATGTTCCACCTCTTGGTGAAGTCTTCCCCATATTTATCCTAATTCATTCTGCTCTGTATAATATGAACCCTCTGA